CATGAAAATGTGTGTAGGCTGCTTTCTGCTGCTCAGTTCCTCAGACGGATACTTTCCTTGTCCCAGGAGACACAATCTGCTCTTGGAGGTAAGGGGAGTGCATGTTCAATAAGACACTTCGTTTCTGGTGAGTCCTGCTTTTGTAGAAGCATCTGTGGAAGATTAACAGGAGCATATTTGAGAGGTGAATATGAAAAAGAGATAAAATTCACATACCAGCATGTTGGATGTGTTCCTAAGTGTGTTTCTCCTAACCTTGGGCTATCCCTAACCATAGTGTTCTGTCAGATGGATTTACCCTTAAAATAGCATAGACACCCCCATGCAATTGCAGTTAGATTGATAAATATAGACTTCATGTAGTCTGCTCCCTACTAAGAGATCCTAATAGTACAACACACTTATCAGAGTCTGTCTTTGCAAGGCAGTGCTTGGAGGGCAATATATAAAGCACAGCTGAGAGACTGAAGGAATTGAAGATGTGGAAACTGGCTCCTGGTTCATCGACATAACTGAGCCATCTCAAACACGCCAGACTTGCCACATGTAGCACTCGAGTGTCAGTTCTGAAGGGTATGGGTTCAGAATTTCCTGTTTGTTTGTTATGCTAGACATACCACATCATGAATCACAGCACAACGTCCCCTGGTAGCGTTCCTGAGTCCTGTTCCCAGAGGAAAGAAACTCAGTTCGTCAACACTGTTTGGGCGTTTGCTTTGGAAACCTTCCATCCAGATAATGTGACTCACTTTGCAGCTTGCAGGAGTAGGGATGGCTGTGCGTATGCTCAGTTGCAGCAGAGTCCTGGAGATTGAGAGGGGGTAGGATGGGGGGAGGATAATGAAAGAATGGGGTAGCATTGGCTTTAAGTGGGCCTGGGTCTATAGAGAGGGATGCTCCTTGAACTGTTAGTTGAGAGGTAGAAATAGTTGAAGAAATGGGTAAAAGGAGGAAGGCTGTCCCTTCTGAAGGGTGGTTGTGGCTAATGGGCAGATGTTCTTAATGCAGACAGCTTTACAGAAGTGGTCTGGCCTTGGAGATGTGCAATAACACATCTTCTAGTTCTTGGGATGGGCTGGATCTTGGTGAAGAGTCAAGGTTTCTGGCCAAGTTTCTTCCTCCTTTAGACACCTCTGCTGACCTGTGACTTGCTGCTGCAGTGTGTAGGCACCCCAGAACTCCATTGCTGCAGTAGCATCTGCTAGGCTTGGATGCTTGCTGTGTCCAGCCTTTCAGGGTGATGGTAGAGCACTGCCCAGGTAAGCCAGCCAGAGAGCTTTCTCCCTCAAAGCCACGCCTGCTTGGATGAGGCATCTGTGTTTGCTGTTCGTTCTTACATAATGCACTTGTGCTTTTAAGCTCAGAGACCATTTCTTACCTTTGAGCCATCCCTTCTCTCCCCTAAGCTCTGAGCTGCAGCAAGTTTGCATGTGAGCAGAAGAGTGAACTTTTTAGCCTGGAATAATTGTGTTCTCTATTGGTGACAATCTATTTTGGGGTTTTTTTTTTCTTCCTTTTAAATGGCAATTTTAAATCGTAGAAAAGTTTTTAATTCTTTTGCAAGCTACATATAAAATATAACAGATAGGCAAAAATGTATTATTAAAGC